TTTGTATAAATATATAGTGTTCTATTTAAAAGATTAAGGTGTTTGTTGCACTTATATACAGGGTGAGTCACTAATTCTGTCGTTCTTTATATCTCCTTAGTTATCAGAAACATAGTAAAAGTTAAATAAAGACAAGGATACACTAAAATTATGTTCAGTTTTACAGAGTGTTCTGATTTTGAAGTATAACATATAGTTAGTTTTTTAAATGAAAAACCCTATATATTTTTACATATTCTGATAGGTTTTATAACTATAGCTGATTTTTGAAATTTCGATATTGCCACATTATTTCTACTTTTTGGAATTTTTTAGCCAATGCAAAAGTTCATAAAAAAATCACAATAAGGTTATTTTTTATGAACACTCTATATACTAAAGTTCAATTTTCTTGACACTACAACCTTTGTGAATTTATTTATAAAATGTTGGTACACAGATGTCAAAAATAACCTTGTTGGAATTTTTGCAAATTTTACTTTTTTCAAAATTTTGTACAAACTTAGAATCACTTGGCAACGTCGCAACTTGATTTAAAAAATAAAATATATTTGTAGAGGTCAAGAAGATCAAGTTTTGTATAAATATATAGAGTGTTCTATTTAAAAGATTAAGGTGTTTGTTGCACTTATATACACGGTGAGTCACTAATTCTGTCGTTCTTTATATCTCCTTAGTTATCAGAAATATATTAAAAGTTAAAGAATAAAGACAAGGAAACACCAAAATTATGTTCAGTTTTACAGAGTGTTCTGTTTTTGAAGCATAACATATAGTTAGTTTTTTAAATGGAAAACCCTATATATTTTTACATACTCTGATAGGTTTTATAACTATAGCTGATTTTTCAAATTCCGATGTTAAATTGCCACATTATTTCTACTTTTTGGAATTTTCTAGCCAATGCAAAAGTTCACAAAAAAATCACAATAAGGTTATTTTTTATGAACAGTCTATATACTAAAGTTCAATTTTCTTGACACTACAACCTTTGTGAATTTATTTATAAAATGTTGGTACACAGATGTCAAAAATAACCTTGTTGGAATTTTTGCAAATTTTACTTTTTTCAAAATTGTGTACAAACTTAGAATCACTTGGCAACGTCGCAACTGGATTTAAAAAATAAAATATATTTGTAGAGGTCAAGAAGATCAAGTTTTGTATAAATATATAGAGTGTTCTATTTAAAAGATTAAGGTGTTTGTTGCACTTATATACATGGTGAGTCACTAATTCTGTCGTTCTTTATATCTCCTTAGTTATCAGAAATATATTAAAAGTTAAAGAATAAAGATAAGGAAACACCAAAATTATGTTCAGTTTTACAGAGTGTTCTGTTTTTGAAGCATAACATATAGTTAGTTTTTTAAATGGAAAACCCTATATATTTTTACATACTCTGATAGGTTTCATAACTATAGCTGATTTTTGAAATTCCGATGTTAAATTGCCATATTATTTCTACTTTTTGGAATTTTCTAGCCAATGCAAAAGTTCACAAAAAAATCACAATAAGGTTATTTTTATGAACAGTCTATATATTAAAGTTCAATTTTCTTGACTCTACAACCTTTGTGAATTTATTTATAAAATGTTGGTACACAGATGTCAAAAATAAGTTTGTTGGAATTTTTGCAAATTTTACTTTTTTCAAAATTTTGTACAAACTTAGAATCACTTGGCAACGTCGCAACTGGATTTAAAAAATAAAATATATTTGTAGAGGTCAAGAAGATCAAGTTTTGTATAAATGCATAGTGTTCTATTTAAAAGATTAAGGTGTTTATTGCACTTATATACAGGGTGAGTCACTAATTCTCTCGTTCTTTATATTTCCTTAGTTATCAGAAATATAGTAAAAGTAAAAGTTAAACAATAAAGACAAGGATACACTAAAATTATGTTCAGTTTTACAGAGTGTTCTGTTTTTGAAGCATAACATATAGTTAGTTTTTTAAATGGAAAACCCTATATATTTTTACATACTCTGATAGGTTTTATAACTATAGCTGATTTTTGAAATTCCGATGTTAAATTGCCACTTTATTTCTACTTTTTGGAATTTTTTAGCCAATGCAAAAGTTCACAAAAAAATCACAATAAGGTTATTTTTTATGAACACTCTATATACTAAAGTTCAATTTTCTTGACACTACAACCTTTGTGAATTTATTTATAAAATGTTGGTACACAGATGTCAAAAATAACCTTGTTGGAATTTTTGCAAATTTTACTTTTTTCAAAATTGTGTACAAACTTAGAATCACTTGGCAACGTCGCAACTGGATTTAAAAAATAAAATATATTTGTAGAGGTCAAGAAGATCAAGTTTTGTATAAATATATAGAGTGTTCTATTTAAAAGATTAAGGTGTTTGTTGCACTTATATACATGGTGAGTCACTAATTCTGTCGTTCTTTATATCTCCTTAGTTATCAGAAATATATTAAAAGTTAAAGAATAAAGATAAGGAAACACCAAAATTATGTTCAGTTTTACAGAGTGTTCTGTTTTTGAAGCATAACATATAGTTAGTTTTTTAAATGGAAAACCCTATATATTTTTACATACTCTGATAGGTTTCATAACTATAGCTGATTTTTGAAATTCCGATGTTAAATTGCCATATTATTTCTACTTTTTGGAATTTTCTAGCCAATGCAAAAGTTCACAAAAAAATCACAATAAGGTTATTTTTATGAACAGTCTATATATTAAAGTTCAATTTTCTTGACTCTACAACCTTTGTGAATTTATTTATAAAATGTTGGTACACAGATGTCAAAAATAAGTTTGTTGGAATTTTTGCAAATTTTACTTTTTTCAAAATTTTGTACAAACTTAGAATCACTTGGCAACGTCGCAACTGGATTTAAAAAATAAAATATATTTGTAGAGGTCAAGAAGATCAAGTTTTGTATAAATGCATAGTGTTCTATTTAAAAGATTAAGGTGTTTATTGCACTTATATACAGGGTGAGTCACTAATTCTCTCGTTCTTTATATTTCCTTAGTTATCAGAAATATAGTAAAAGTAAAAGTTAAACAATAAAGACAAGGATACACTAAAATTATGTTCAGTTTTACAGAGTGTTCTGTTTTTGAAGCATAACATATAGTTAGTTTTTTAAATGGAAAACCCTATATATTTTTACATACTCTGATAGGTTTTATAACTATAGCTGATTTTTGAAATTCCGATGTTAAATTGCCACTTTATTTCTACTTTTTGGAATTTTTTAGCCAATGCAAAAGTTCACAAAAAAATCACAATAAGGTTATTTTTTATGAACACTCTATATACTAAAGTTCAATTTTCTTGACACTACAACCTTTGTGAATTTATTTATAAAATGTTGGTACACAGATGTCAAAAATAACTTTGTTGGAATTTTTGCAAATTTTACTTTTTTCAAAATTTTGTACAAACTTAGAATCACTTGGCAACGTCGCAACTGGATTTAAAAAATAAAATATATTTGTAGAGGTCAAGAAGATCAAGTTTTGTATAAATATATAGAGTGTTCTATTTAAAAGATTAAGGTGTTTGTTGCACTTACATACACGGTGAGTCACTAATTCTGTCGTTCTTTATATCTCTATATCTCCTTAGTTATCAGAAATATAGAAAAAGTTGAAGAATAAAGACATAGTTGTTTGACAAGTGTACAGTAAAATTATTTTCAACTTTACAGAGTGTTCTGTTTTTGAAGCATAATGTTCAGCTAGTTTTATTAATCATATACCCTATATATTTTGCAGCCAATACAATTCACAATAAATCTAAATACGGTTATTTTTATAGACACTCTATATACTAAAGTTCAATTTTCTTGACAATACTGTTTTTATTATTTTTTTTTTTTTTGAAATTTTAATATAAACTAATTTACAGATAAATCGTAACTTAAATTTCGATTTTTGTGGATTTAATAACCTATTAAATTAAACAATCAACCTCAATTATTAGCGGGAAAACAATATTTTTAATAGCAGCTTTAACGTGTAAAAGTTGGTGTTCCGCTCCATAGCAACAACGGACAGAAAGCAGACTTTAAGCTACCGGCGCGTTTATCACAAAATAACTAGCAAACTAATTCTGAATATGATTTTACTTTTCCAGTGTAAAAATTGATGGTTAATAAGTAATTTAAAATTTCCGTGACGCTGTTTTTCTATTGATCAGTTTTAATTAATGTATTCTGTTGTACAAAAGGGCATCCTTGAAGTTTTCAATTTTGTGAACGTCAGTAATTAAAATCCAATCAAAAATAAATCATCAAGGTCCATAAAACCTGTAGAATTTGTAAATTTTTAACGAGCAGGTGTGTGTGTTCAAAAAATGACCGCCCGATACCACGTTCTTTTTAATCACCCAATTCATTTAAGTGCCTCTTAATCAGAATAAAAACAATATTTATGCACAGTAATTAATAATATAAAATTCCGCGCACATTTTTCTCTAGAAATCAGCTCTCCGCGAAGTCCATTTCTCGTCGTGCACACGCGATTTCGTCCGCGCTTTGGTGAAATTCCCAGAACCCACCATCCCAATTCTCGGAACATGTCCCCTGATTCACGAACTTTCATTAACCTTCTGAACCAAAGAACGTGCAAAATTCCGAGAAACGCATATCTAATCCAGGCATCTCGCAAAAAGTCGCCCTTGCTCTCAGCTATCGGATGAATGCTATAAATAGGAAATGGGTTCTGCACTATTGAAGGATTTCCTACCACTTACAATGACTAGACACAAAAAATCGAACAATTAGCTCTGATGACATTCTTAAACTGACAATCGATTAGTTAAAGTGAAGGTGATTTATTAATTTTTTTTGAGAGCGTTGACGAACGCGTAATTGGAATTGGATGCCGGGGACGCTTTGACAAATTATTTTGTTGGAGGCGGCGATTGGGTAGGATTAATAAGTGGAAGGTTTTTTCATTTATCATCGCTGAAATGTCAATGATTTCTGAACAATTCCGTGAAATTGCAGGTATGCGTTTGTTTGGTATTAAGATCGAGGGGTCATTCGTACTGCACGAGCAGCTATGGGAGGGAAATTTGCAGTTTTCTGCCCGCAGCGCCGGGGAAAACGCCGCCCTGCGCCCTGCCGGGGCTGACGTACTGTGAACACCCGCATCATTATCCAGGGTAAGCTTTTGCAGAGTTTATTTTTCAGGTTTTGACATTTTAGTTGATTTGTAGAAGAGTTTGTGAATTTTAGTACTTTGAAAAATATTTTCGGTTTTTTTCTTCTAACTTCTAACTTGTAATCACCCTGTATGTTAGTCGCTTTCGCAATGTTGATTTCTTAGTCCAATTTAAACCAATGACGTTTACAAAATTTAATATTTAATTAAAATTTAATATTAATTAAAATTCTCAAAATTAATATATACATTTTTTTTTTAAATGTGGCCACTGTTGCCAGAATAACAGTCACCCTACTTTGAAGGTAACCAATTGGAAACATTTACTTCTCGAACGAAGTATTGCAACAGGGTTTAAACATTTTCACGGAATCTAAAGAGCCCTAGTGTTTTTTTTTTTTTAAGTGACAGAATCTTCGGTTCTCTTGGCGTTTTGTTTTTGAAAGTTTGAACAAATTTTTGGGTCTTTTGTATAAGTTTTAAGAGTGTCAAAGAATCTTCCGGGTCTCTGATGGTTTGTTTTTGAAAGATTTACAAAGAATCTTGATGGCCCTTGGTCTCTTTTTTTTTGAAAGATTTTTACAGAATCTGAGGAACCGTAGTTTTTTTTTTAACTCACAGATTTTTCGGCGCCCTTGATGTTTTATTTTTAAAATAGTTTGAAAACAATTTGGGAGCCTTTAAGTAGTGTCTCTTTTTTCAAGAGCGTGAAACATTTTTCGGCAATTCTTGTTTTTTTAAGATTTTGAAAAAACTTGAGCCCTAGTGTCTTCTTTTTAAAGGTTGTAAAAGAGTTTTGAGAACCCTTGGTATTTTACTTTTGCAAACATCTGAAACATCCTCTGAACCCTGAAAATGCTTTGTTTTGAAATAGTTTGCAAACAATCTTAAGGATCCTTTTTTTTTGAAAGATTTTTAAAGAATCTTCATGATCCCTGAATTTTGTACTTAAAAAATCTTCAAAGAATTTTGACTATTGTTCTTTTTTAAGAATGGGAATGGAAACCCTTTGTATTTCACATTTTAAACATTTGAAAAAAAATCTCTGGACCCTTGATTCCTCTATTTTGAAAAAGTTTGAATAAAACAAAAGGGCGTTTAGTGTCTTTTTATGTAAAGAATCTGAAAGAATCTTGAAAACTTTGAGTGTTGAATTGAAGAAAAAAATGGAATAATTCTCTGGGCCCCTGATATTTTGTTTATTATTGAAATAATCTATATACTACTTTTTAAAGAATGTGAAAGAGTTTTGGAGACCTCTAGTATTTTACTTTTGAGAGTATTTGAAAAGATTTTGTGGATCTCTGATTGCTTTGTTTTGAAAGAGTTTGGAAAAAATCTTAAGGGTCCTAAATGTTTTTTTAAATGACAGAATCTTTATCCTTGTGTTTTTTTTTTGAAAGGTTTTTAAAGAATCTTCATCGTTCCTGAGTTTTGTTTTTGAAAAACCTTCAAAGAATTTTGACGGCTTTTGGCCGTTTTTTTTTTAACATTTTAACATAATTTGAAGATCCCTATAGTTTTTTTTAACAATGTGAAAGCGTTTTAGAAACCCCCTAGTATTTTACATTTTAAACATTTGAAAACATTCTCTAGACCCCTGATTGCCCTATTTTGAAAAAAATTCAAAGGATCTTTAGTGTATTTTTATTTAAAGAACGTGAAAGTCTTGAAAACCCCAAAATTTTTATATAAAAAAAAAAAATTGGAACAATTCTCTGGGCCCCTGATATTTTGTTTATTGTTGAAATAAACTTTAGAATATTTTTAAAGATTCTGAAAAAATCTTTAGAACTCACAGTGGTTTTGTTTTTGCAAGAATTGAAAAAATCTTGGGCACTTGGAGTACTCTGTGATTGAAAGAGTTTTAAAGAATTTTCGGGGTATCTAGTGTTTTGTTTAGAAAGAATTTCAAAGAGTCTTGGCTACCTTTAGTTTCTTTTTTTGAAAGTGTTTGAAAAAACTTGGAGGACTTTTGGTGTTTTTTTAAACATCTTCAAAGAATCTTGTAGGCCCTTGGGCTCTTTGTTTTTGAAAGATTTTGATTGAATCTAAGAGGCCTTAGTGTTTTTTTAACCTGACAAAATCAGAAGTCTTAATGTTTCGTTTTTGAAAGAGTTTGAAGTGATTTTGGGGGCCTCTGGTGTCTAATTTTTAAAGAGTATGGAAGATCGTACCTAGTGTTTTGTTTCTGAAAATTTCAAAAAATTTTGACGGCTTTGGTTTTTTTTTCGGAAGAAGTTCAATTTTGTTTTTTTTTAAGTGAAAGAGTTTTGTGAACCTCTAATATTTTCCTTTTGAAAACAATTGAAAACATTTTCTGGACCCCTGATTGCTCTGTTTTAATAGAGTTTGAAAAAATGTAAAGAGCCTTTAGTGTCTTTTTATTTAAAGAATGTGAAAGAGCCTTGAAAATCCCTAATGCCTTTTTGAAAAAAGAAAAATGGGGGTGACTGGTGTTCTGTCTAGAAAAATTTTTAAAGTGTCTTGGCGTCCTCTACTTTCCTTTTTTGAAAGTGTTTGAAAAAACCTTGGTGCTTTTTCTTTTAAATGACAGAATAAGTCCTTTGGGGCTTTTTTTTTGATAGATCTTCAAAGAATCCTTGGAGTCCTTGGTCTTTTATTTTTGAAAGATTTCGATAGAATCTAAGACGCCTTAGTGTTTTTTAACCGACAGAATTATCGGTGGCCTTGATTTCTTGTTTTTGAAAAAGTCTGAAATAATTTTGGAAGCTTCTGGTGTCTAATGTTCAAAGATGTGGAAAAATGTTTATGATCGTCCGTGGAGTTTTGTTTCAGAAAGACTTAAAAAAAAATTTCGACGGCCCTTGGTCTTTTTTTTTTGGAAATTTTTAACAGAATCTGGGGAGTTACATTTTTTATATATTTTTTTAATAAGAAAGAGTTTTGTAGACCCCTAATAGTATACCTTTGAAGATATTTGAAAAGATTTTCTGGATCCATGGTTGCTCTGTTTTGAAAGAGATTGAAAAAATCTTAAGAGTCTTTTTATTTAAAGAATGTGAAAGAGTTTTGAAAACCCTGAGTATCTTATTAAAAAAAATGGAACTAAGTACTCTTCGTGTCTAGAATTTAAAAAAATCTTGGCGACTTTTCATTTGTTTTTTTGAAAGTTTTTAAAAGAGCCTGAGGGGCCTTTAGTGTTTTTTCTTTTAAATAACAGAATTTTTGTACCTTTGGTGTGCTATTTTTGATAAAACTCCAAAGAATCCTTGGATACCTTTGGTATTATTATTGTTGAAAGATTTTGATAGAATCTAAGAGACCTTAGTATTTTTCAGATGACGCTCTTGGTCTTTTTTTCGGAAGATTTTGACAGATTTTGGGGAGTTCTATTTTTTTTAACTGAAAGAGTTTTGTAGAGCCCTAGTATTTTACTTTTGAAGACATTTGAAAACATTTTCTGGCTTCCCTAATTGCTCTGTTTTGAAAGAATTTGAAAAATGTAAAGAGCCTTTAGTGTCTTTTTATTTAAAGAATGTGAAAAAGCCTTGAGAACTCCAAGTGTCTTTTGGAAAAAAAAATTGTTTTGTTTTTTCAAGAATTTTAAAAAATCTTGGGTACTTCGAGTATTTTGTTTAGAAAGAATTTCAAAGAATCTTGGCGACCTTTCACCCGTTTTTTGAAAGTGTTTAAAAGAGCCTTTAGTGTCTTTTTATTTAAAGAATGTGAAAGAGCCTTGAAAACCCCTAATGTCTTTTTGAAAAAAGAAAAATGGGGGTGTCTGGTGTTCTGTTTAGAAAATTTTTTAAAGTGTCTTGGCGACCTCTAGTTTCCTTTTTTTGAAAGTGTTTGAAAAAACCTTGGTGTTTTTTGTTTTAAATGACAGAAAAAAAACCTTTGGGGTTTTGTTTTTGAAAGAATTTCAAAGAATCCTTGGAGGCTCTTAGTCTCTTTATTTTTGACAGATTTTGATAGAATCTAAGAGGCCTTAGTGTTTTTTAACTGACAGAATCATCGGTGGCCTTGATCTTGTTTTTGAAAGAGTATGAAATAATTTTGGAAGCCTCTGGTGTCTAATGTTTAAAGAGGTGGAAAAATATTTACGATCGTCCGTAGAGTTTTGTTTCAGAAAAACTTTTAAAAAGTCTTGACGGCCTTTGCTGTTTTTTTTTTGGAAAATTTTAACAGAATTTGAGGAGTTCTATTTTCTATTTTTTTTTTAACATGAAAGAGTTTTGTAGACCCCTAATAGTTTACCTTTGAAGACATTTGAAAAGATTTTCTGGAACCATGATTGCTCTGTTTTGAAAGAGGTTGAAGAAATCTTAAGGGTTCTTGCTATCTTTTTATTCAAAGAATGTGAAAGAGTTTTGAAAACCTTAAGTGTCTTATTAAAAAAAATGGAACTACTCTTAGTGTCTAGAATTTCAAAGAATTTTGGCGAACTTTGACCGGTTTTTTGAAAGTGTTTGAAAGAGCCCAAGGGGCCTTTAGTGTTTTTTCATTTAAAGAGAATTTTTGTACCTTTAGTGTATTATTTTTGAAAGAACTCCAAAGAATTCTTGGAGACCTTTGGTATTATTATTTTTGAAAGATTTTGATAGAATCTAAGAGGCCTTAGTATTTTTCAGATGACGCCCTTGGTCTTTTTTTTTTGGAGATTTTGACAGATTTTGGGGAGTTCTATTTTTTTGAACTAAAAGAGCCCTAATATTTTACTTTTGAAGACATTTGAAAAGATTTTCTCGATCCGTGATTGCTCTGTTTTAAAAGAATTTGAAAAAATGTAAAGAGCCTTTAGTGTCTTTTTATTTAAAGAATGTGAAAGAGCCTTGAAAACTCCAAGTGTCTTTTGGAAAAAAAAATTGTTTTGTTTTTTCAAGAATTTTAAAAAATCTTGGGTACTTGGAGTATTTTGTTTAGAAAGAAGTTCAGAGAATCTTGGCGACCTTTGATCTGTTTTTTTTTTAAAGTGTTTAAAAGAGCCCGAGGGGCCTTTGGTGTTTTTTTTAAATAACAGAATTTTTATACCTTTGGTGTGTTATTTTTAAAAGACTGATAGAATCTACGAGGTTTTAGTGTTTTTCAGCTAACAGAATTTTCGGTGAACTTGATGTTTTATTTTATAAAGAGTTTGAAATAATTTTGGGGACCTCTGATGTCTAATTTTTAAAGAGTGTGGAAGAATCTTCATGGTTGTTCCTGGTGTTTTGTTTTAGAGCGATTGCAAACAATCTTGACGGCCTTGGTCTTTTTTTTGGAAGATTTTGACTCAGTCTTGGAAGTTCTGTTTCCTTTTTTTTAATGAAAGAATTTTGTAAAGATCTAATAATTTTATTTACTTTTGAAGATATTTGAAAACATTTTTTGGATCCCTGATAGTTCTATTTTGAACGAGTTTGAAAAAAAAGAGCCTTTAGTGCCCTTTTATTTAAAAAATGTGAAAAGGTCTTGAAAACCCCAAGTGTCTTATTGAAAAAAAAAAAAAATAGAACAATTCTCTGGGCCCCTGATATTTTGCTTATTGTTGAAATAATCTTTAAATTATGTTCTAAAAAGAATGTGAAAAAATCTTGACACCTCACAATGGTTTTGTTTTTGCAAGAATTTGGAAAAAGTCTTGAGTACTTTGAATGTTTGGTTTTTGAAATGGTTTTAAAGAAGCTTCGGGGTGTCTGGTGTTTTGTTTAGAAAGATTTTCAAAGAGTCTTGGTGACCTTTAGTTCCTTTTTTGAAAGTGTTTGAAAGAGCCTTGGAATCTTTTTCTTTTAAATGACAGAATATTTGTACTTTTGGTGTTTTCTGTTTTGTTTTTGAAAGATCTTCAAAGAATCTTGGAGGCACTTGGCATTTTTATTTTTTAAAGATTTTGATAAAATCTCAGGGGCTCTATGTTTTTTAATTGACAGAATCTTCCGTGGACAAATAATTTTGGAGCCTCTAATGTCTAATTTTCAAAGAGTGTGGAAAAATCTTCATGGTTGCTCCTGGTGTTTTGTTTCTGAAAGACTATTAAAAAAACTTGATGGCCCTTGGTCTTTTTTTTTAAGATTTTGACAGAACCTGAGAAGTTCTATTTTCTTCCTCTAATATTTTACTTTAGAAGACATTTGACACGATTTTTTGGATGCCTGATTGCTTTATTTTGAATGAGTTTGAGGATCCTTAGTGTCTTTTTATTTAAGGAATGTGAAAGAGTTTTGAAAACCCTAAGTGTCTCATTAAAAAAAATATATATGGAACAATTCTCTGACTTCTTGATATTTTTTTGTTGAAATAATCTTTTCACCATTTTTTAAAGAATGTAGAAAACATTTGAGAACTGGCAGTGATTTTGTTTTTGAAAGAATTTTTAAAAATCTTGGGCACTTCGCTTGTTTTGTTTTGAGAGTTCTAAAGACTCTTCGGGGTGTCTGGTGTTTTGTTTAGAAATAATTTCAAAGAATCTTGACGACCATTGGTTTCTTTTTTTAAACCTATAGTTTTCTAGATGTTTTATTTTTGGAAAAGTATGAAAAAAAATTGGAGGTTCCTAGTGCCTATTTTTTGAAGAATTTGTAAAAAATCGAAAGGGTTCTTGGTGTATTTTTATTTAAAAATTATGAAAGAATCGTGAAAACCAAAAGTGTCTTATTAAAAAAATGAAACAATTCTCTAGGTCCCTGGTATTTTGTTTATTGTCAAAATAACCCCTGGACCACTTTTTTAAAGATTGTGAAATAATTTTGGTAATTTCTGATATTTTATTTTGAAAAAAAAAAAAAAATCTCTGGGCTCCTGATGCTTTGTTTTGAAAGAGGTGAGGACCAGTACTGACTTATGAATAAAAAAACTTGAAACAATCCTTTAGACTCCTGATATTTTTAGATACATATTTTAAAGAATGTGAACGAAACTTGAGAGGCCATGGTTTATTTTTGAGAAAATTTAAAAAAACTTTAGGCGCTTTTTGTTTCTTCTTTTTGAAAGAATTTGAAAAAATCTTAGGGGGCCTTGGTGTCTTTCTACTTAAAAAATGTGAAAGGATCTTGAAGACCTCTATTGTTTCATTAAGAAAAATTGAAACAATCGTCTGGATCCATGACATTTTGCTTAGTGTTGAAATATCTTTAGATACATGTTTAAAAAAATGTGAAAGGTTACTAAGTATCCACGGTGATTTATTTTTTAAAAAATTTGAAAAAATCTTGGGCACACTTATTTTTGAAAGAGTTTTAAAGAATCGTGGTGACCTTTGATGTCTTCTGTTTAAAATAGTTTCGAAGAATTTAGAGAGTTCCCAGTATCTTTTTTTTTCCAAAGAATGTTACAAAATTTTCGGGGCCCCTTGTTTTTTGTTGCTGAAATAGTTTGAATGAATTTTGGGGACCTCTTGTACCTCCACAGTACGAAGAAATAGGTTTCCCGTTTCCGTCTGTCTGTCTGTCTGTCTGTCTGTCTGCCGTCCCGGATTTTTAGATAATCTTAGGGACCCTAGGTATTTTTTTTTTAAATATGAAAGAATCTCCGGAACTCAGTCCAATTTTTGAAAAATTTTGAAAAATTCTTTGACCCCTGATATTTGGTTTTTGAAAGAGTTTGAAAGACTCTTAGGGTCTTCTACTGTCTTTTTCTAAAGAATATAAAAGAGCCCTGAACACTTCTATTGTCTTATTTAAAAACAAAAATCAAAACATTCATCTGAACTCCTGATACTGAATAACTTCAGACCACGTTTTTTGGTTTTGGGACCACTTCATGATTTTCCTTTATTCTATGAAAATACCTACTTTCCCACACTTTGATTACTCTTAAGTAACAACTAGTTGTTAATTTGGCGTTGTTTAAATTTGCACTTTTTTCATTGTCTTGTGCAACTACAAAGATAATTCCTTTAATTAAAGTGTACACACATTTGCGAACTCTGTTTGACATACTTTTGGGGAAAATACTAAAGATTAAACTGTAGATGGATATTTTACAAAGCCAAACCTGACCTGACCTGTCCCGACCTGATCTGACCTGACCTGACCTGATATGTCATAACCGGAAAAATGTACAATTTCAGCATCAGTTGCAACTCTTGTGACCTTTATTTTGTTTCAGCCAAAGAATCCAATACCTAATCCAAAAATGGCGCTTCGACCACTCCACCACCCTCATCGATGAATCCAAAGAAGACTTCACCTCCTACTACTACCCACCCCCTTCGTACAAATACGGCCCCAGCAACACCATCAAACCCGAAAACTTCTACCCAGAACCCATCTACATCCCCAAACCCAACTACGTCTTTGACCAAAGCTCCCGCGTAGGAAACACCTACATCCCCCCGCAACCCCCCGTCAACTACAACACAACCCAGCTCTTCACCGGCTACCCCGACCGAAGACACCCCCAAACCAGAATAGAAAACTACAAATACTCCAACGACATCCCCCCAAGCACCTCCCCTAGAGACACCTACGGCCCCCCAAACCTGTACACGTCTCTGTCTTTACCCCAAACCAACCCCTACATAAAAGTCTGGAACAGAAAAGACGAAAACAAATTCGGGAAAGCGGTTTTGATCCGCCGGAAGAGATCCACTCACTTGAGGAAACTCAAGTCGATAAATTTTGCGAATAGTACTGTGCATGAACGAACGAAGCGGCAAAGCGCTTTGACTGGTCAGACTCTCTGCGAGACCCGCTCTCAGTTCATCATGCCCCGAGCCGCTTTGAACAACAAAGGCAACTGGATGTACGTTGTCAACATGCCGGAATTAGATAACAGGTTTACTCAACTCGTCAAAAGTGAAACTTGTGCGTAAGTATTGTGTGTTTTGGTAAATTTTGTGCAAACTAAGAGGTTTTTATTTAGGTCGCAGACCTGCAGCGGGCTTTGCAGTCTTCCTGTCGGCTACGCTTCCCGGTGCGAGCAGAAGTACGTCCAGAAGAGGCTCGTCGCTTTGGAGGGGGCCGGGAGCGAGCTCTACACCGACGTGTTCTGGTTTCCTAGTTGTTGTGTGTGCACGATTTCGAACGGTTAGGTCTTTGCGCAGTCAGTAGGTCCAATTTTGTAATTTTAGTAGTTCTTGTGTTCATTTAATTGCAATTTCAAAATCTAGGTTGAGGCAATGGGACATTTTTCATGTAAATGATAAGTTCCTATTAGCTATAAATTCGCTCTGTCTATTATTGTTGTGTGATTATGTAATTATACGTGTAAAAACGTTGTGGCTAATTTCAAATTACTATCATTATCTGTTGTGGGCCAATGCTATTAGCACGTATTTCATTATTAATTGTGAAATCTTTGTTCGATAAAGGAAAATTCGTGTTTATAGGTTGTGTTTTGATGACCGTTGACTTTTTAGCTGTTGGGGGCTTCGTGCACACGATTTTGGCAACGATGATCAAAATTTCCGAATAAATTGGCGAATTTATAAGATTTTTTTATGTGTTCAAGTTTATTTTGGAATAAAACTATTATCAGAAACAGAATTCTTTATATGATATAACAATATGAGGGCAATGCAATAAGACTGTTAATAAAGATGGCATGTGTAAATAAATAATACTTCTATATTGTTCACAGGTAAGGTGTGATCAACAAAAACGTCTTCACACGGGCGTTTTATTGATCCCACCTTATTTTCCTAATCTGTATAAATAAATATATATGTGTATCTATATCGTTTTAAGATTCCTTTTATGTGTATGCTTTTTTGATTTATGTTTAATCTATTGCTGTGTTTTGTGTTTAGTAGTATATATTATTAATTATACTTATTATTGTATTATAGCCTAGGAATTTTTTTCACATCTTATGGGAAATATCTCTAGGTTTTTGTCTTATGTTAAGTTCGGTAAGAGCAAGAGCTAATAATCCAAAACATGGTAGATAGTAGCCCTCACTATTCATTTACTTAATTTATTTCGGTCACACTGTAGTTATTACATAGTGATTTAGATTAGAAAAAATTAAATCTCTTTTGCTATCTATACTAGTGCACGTAGAGTGACATTTAAATAGAATTATTATTTGATTTTCAAATCTTTACACGTTATATAAAACTTACAACTTTAATATGCAATTCATATTTGGCAGTGTTCCAAGATTATAGTTAGAATTAGTTCCAAGGTATGTGATGTACAGCATAATCTAGACAACTTAATAATAACAATAAACTTCAAGACAGATGGTGTTTAACAAACTGTGTGGTTTGAAATTAAGATAAATAAATCATTCCACCAATATATCAGTGTTATTTACACCTTCCTGGAGTAAGATTAGGGCACAATATTGTTATAATCCTGTAAATCTCTGTTCAATTTTTGTTTCCAATAACGCATTTTAATCGTTGGATATTCTTTCAGTTTTACTTATGTGCACAGTTGGTTGCATATCCAAAGAAGTTCTGTCATGTAGAATAATTATTTACGTAGTGGCCACATTATTGTTACAATATAATCTGTAACAATAAGTATTATTATGTCGATTTGTACTTTTCTTAAATTTTGTAGAATAACAAAATGTCGCATAGAAGGTTTGTGGAAAATATTTTGAAGAGGACCTTAATCTTCGAAATTACTGAAGTCATTCCTTTAATATTGTCACGAAGATGGTAAAAAGTGGCTACCAAAAACTGACGACGTAATCTAAAAGTTTTGACAAGCAAATGTTTCGTCTAGAAATAAAAGATCTTTGGTTAGATATTAACTCAAACATGAATGGTTGCATAAAATACAGGGGGTTTAATTTAACTCATTTCTTTTAAATAAATTTTGCTGTTGACGTTGACGTTTCTTTTGGAGCTGAAAATTGTCATTTATAAACTCCGTTGCCAAGTTGCCGTTGATCTGCCAAGTTTTAACTTTCTTGTTGTCGAAATAAGTCACCACATATTAAGAAAAAAAGGCAAAATGTAGCCCCGCCCACCCGCCCTATCTCAATTGTGATAATTTTTTTATTTGTCGTGAGCCAAGAGGGCGGAGCTTAACTGCAAAATCCTTATTTCTCTACGAAAAACTAAAAACATGTGTTTGACTATCGTGCTGTTCAAAGAATGCTATGTATATTAAGAAAAAAATAAAGCCAAAGAATTCTCAATTGTGATGAAGTTTTCATTCGTTGTCAGATCGAGAGGCGGGGCTTAATTGTAAGATCCATATTTGTCTAAAAAATCCACCATTTTAAACATGTTTTAAGTTTCTTGATCTGAAAAAACGACCACGTATATTAAGGAAAAATGCAAAATATAAGCCCCGCCCACTCGCCCTATCTCAATTCTGATGATTTTGTTTTTTAATCGTCGAGAGTCAAAGGAGCGGAATTTAATTGCAAAAGATATGGTTTTGAGTATCGCGTTATTCAAAGAATACTATGTATTTTAAAAAAATTAGGCCAAAGATTAAGCTCCACCCACACCTGCCCTGATCTAAATAGTAATGAAGTTTTCATTCGTTGGCAGACCTAGAGGCGGAGTCTAAGTGCAAAATTCATATCTCCTTACAAAAATTTACCATTTTAAACGTGTTTTAGGTTTTAAAGAATAAAAAAATTATCACAATTGAGATGGGGAAATAAGTATTTTGCAGTTAAGTTCCGCCCCTTGATTCAGGACGAATAAAAAAAATCATCACAATTGAGATAGGGCGGGTGGGCGGGCTTAAATTTTGCCTTTATGTTTTAATATGTGTAGACTTCTTTTCACAACATCAAACTTAAAACATGTCTAAAATGGAAAATTTGTATAAGAACAGTTTGATACGGGACTAATTTTCGTACTAAATTGTATGCGAGAAATTAGAACCAGTTCTAAATTCTTGTATACAAGCAGGCTCAATGTGGGCGCGCATTCTATCGTATACAATTTATAACGAAAATTTGTCCTGTGTCAAACGGCTCTAAGGAAATATCGATTTTGTAATTAGGCTCCGCCCCATAATTGCAAAACCCATATTTCCTTACAAAAATGTACCATTCTAATCACGTTTAATTTCTTGTTGTGAAAAGACGGCTATGTGTATAAAAAAAAAAAAAACAAAATATAAGCCCCGCCCACCCGCCCTATCGCAATTCTGATGATCTTTTTATTCGTCGTAAGCCAAGGGGGCGATCCTTAACTGCAAAATCCTTATTTCTTTCTAAGTGTGATAAAATCTCTTATAAACGAGTATCATACAGTATTTTTTCTATTTTGTGCCTTTTTAAACAAAACGATGAAATTGCGATTTCGAAATCTAGGGAATTTTACGAGAGTTGGCAAGATTTGCAGAATATAAGAAGGGCGGCTGTGAAAAAAGATGATAGACAGTTATAACAGCTAGCAGCTATCTCCTCCGTAATGACAACAGTAAGAAAATTAATTTCACTAGGTTTAGTGTAATTATTATAGCACCTAGTGTATTTATTACGACACGCGATTGCGTATCGTAATAGACTTATTAAGAACGCAAAGTAGAAAAAGATATTTTTAAGAATCGTGCTGTTCAAAGAATACTATGTACCTATATTAAGAAAATAATAAAGCCAAAGATTAGGCTCCACCCATACCCACCCCGACCTCAATTATCAATTGTAATGAATTTTTCACTCGTTGACAGATCGAGGGGCAGAGCTTAATTGCAAAATCCATGTCTGTCTCAAGAATTTACCATTTTAAAGATGTTCTAAGTTTCTTGTTCTGAAAAGACGACTATACGTAGACTACTAAAGAAAAAAAGCAAAATATAAGCCCCGCCTACCCGCCCTATCTAAATTGTGATGATTTTTTTTATTTGCCGTGAACCAGCTACAAACTACAACTACAAAATTTTTAGTTTTTTTACAAGAAATTAAACACATGTTTTTGAGTGTGAAAGAATACTATGTATATTAAGAAAAAATTAAAACCAAAGATATATTTTTTTTAACCATCGAAAGCCGAAAGGGCAGATTTTAATTGCAAAATCATTGTTATTTCTTTACAAGAAATTACTATGGAAAATATGTTTTTGAGTATCGTATTATTAAAAGAATACTATGTATATTAACCACCCATGTCTTCCCTGATCTAAATAGTAATGAAGCCTAATTGCAAAATCCATATTTTCTTACAAAAATTTATCATTTTAAACGCGTTTTAAGTTTCTAAGAATAAAAAAATCATCACAATTGAAATGGGGTGGGTGGGCGGGGTTTATATTTTCCCTTATTTTCTTAATATACGTGGTATTCTTTGAACAACACGATGCTCAAACACTTGTTTTTAATTTTTTGTAAACAAATAAGTATTTTGCAGTTTAGCTCCCCACAATTGAAATAGGGCGGGTGGGCGGGCTTACATTTTGCCTTTTTGTTTTAATATGTGTAGACTTCTTTTTACAACCTGAAACTTAACAAATGGATAATTTGTTCAAGGAAATATCAGTTTTGCAATTAGGCTCCGTCCCAAAATTGCAAAATCCATATTTCTTTGCAAAAACCATTTTAACCATGTTTTAAGTTTCTTCTTGTGAAAAGATGATTATGTATATTAAGAAAAAAGGCAAAATATAAGCCCCACCCACCCACCCTATCTCAATTCTGATGATTTTTTTTAATCGTCGTAAGCCGAGAGGCGGAGTTTAATAGTAAAATCTTTATTTTTATACGAGAAATTACCATATTACCAAATATGTTCTTAAGTAATTGTGTCACAATATACAATGAAAATAAAAATTTTTTGATTTTTCCCTGTACAAATTTGCCATTTTAAACATGTTTTAAGTTTCTGGACCATATCGTCAAAATACTTTTCACTATTTTGAGTAGCCGCAGATATTGGTGTTGCGCTTTATAATAATAACGATCAATAAGTCGCAACTACCTCGTTTTTGGGCAAACTTGATGTCTTGTTTTGCACGGAAACGATTAATATCCAGTTGACAAAATCATTCTGCCTTGTTCTAGTTAGTTGACCTAAAAATATTATGTAAAGCTACCTTCGTACGAAAAGTCAACAGCATTTTATTTATCTGTCCATCCCATTTTCGAACCTTTCCGAAAATAGATCAACAGTTAAACACGCAATCATTGTTTTATTGCAAAAACGGTATCCTTGACTTGGGGCATGACTCAAGCATTGGAAGCCCACTCAAACTACCTCTTTTGTGCCAAACTGTGAGTCCATTATCCAACAAGAACCACTTGGTGGGTCGACATGGAGGTGGCCAATTTTCCAAGAAGATTCATCAAGCTAGCCGAACAACCCAACACAGGAAATAGTATCGCCACATCTTAATAACTTTCTTTTTGATTAAGAATGCAGTCATTTTCGTTCGATTTTGTAACACGCGACACAAAATTCACATTACTTTTTTTCTACAAACACGAAGTCGACTTAATTACAAACCGATTTTCCTTTTACCTTGTCGGTACCCAACCCATACATGGTCGAGATCGTATCAACATACCGCGAAGTACCAACAAATTTTTTACGACGCTAATCTCGCATATTAACTAATTAAAACCATTAAATACAACCCAACGCACGGCTCCACCAAATCCATAAATCTCCCCCCACGCTGAGTCCAGACCAAGCTTCCATAAAAAGATCGCGAAAATTTTCAACTACCGACCACGCCTCTGGTTTTGGTCCATCGAAAAGTCAGCCAAGATCGCAGCTTCAAGAGCAAATATCTTCTTTTGTAACGTTATAAATATTTGATTTCTATTGTCACCCATCGTGGTCCATTCATTAGACCAAACCTACACCATATTGTCTTCCTATATGAAAAATCCACCCAGTTCAAGGTTAACAGCAACTGAAACAAAAGATTATGACACTGTAAGTAGGTGCGTAAAGGTCGAAGAAAACTAAGAACGCTTGAAAGGGTGGCAATTTCTTTGCAAAAATTTCGACACGACGTGTTCCCACGTCACATACCAAGACTCGCTTTCTTTTATTATTTATGGTAGTTCTGGGGCTGGTGCTCTGGACTGGCATTTGGGTGCTAAGTGTTGGTACTGTTCCATAAGTGGTTTCACCACAGAGGTAATTTTGCAAAAAAGCTGAGGTGGCACGTGTTTACAACCATCCATGACTAAGTATGACGTTACTAAACCACAATACAACAATGACGTCAAGGACGCTCTCCGCCAGCCATACCTAAAATAGAGATTACAGTTAATGAGATCAAAGTACTAAATTAGCAGCCAATCCAAACGGTCAACAACCCCCTAACTGTACCCATTGGTCGTATTTTGATCAAGATTGCCAAAACTG